ATCATATCAAACCTTACTGAGAGTTCGTGAAGGGTTCTATTGATTGGAATTATGTGAAAAAGTTCAGTCTGAAAGTTGAAACAAAGCCTTGTTTGTCTTTCCAATTTCTCATCAAAAAAGTGTCCCTCGGGAGTCAAAGGGCAGCCCGTTTAAAAGGCTCGGTCCATGCTGAAGAATGTTCGTAGAGGGGTCGACTAGCAGCCAGTCCCTGAGAAATGCAAGGGCAGAAACAGAGTTGCAGCAAATCTGCCCAATACTTTAATTATTGTCCCTCAGTTTCTTTGCGCTCATACCTGTCTGGGCTCAGAGTTCATTTGAGAGCGTCTTAAAGGCTTAAGGACAAACCCCTATTGTGGATAGTGGCATTTGATTACGAACCTATAGTTGTTAAATGGCTCTCCAGGGGAAAAAAGCAAGAAAGTCATGGAGATCACCAAAAGTAAGGATCTGGCAGTCTCTCTGGACGTGTTTTCCGAGTCTGCTCGTTTTATGCCAGCAAAGCGATATTCTGCGCTGAACTCGTAACGGAAAACAGCCTCCGAGTTTCGGTGGGCGATACAACTAGGGGGAGGGCGTCAGATCCGCCGTTTCTGAGGGGCGCAGCGCCTCCGTTACTAGCTGTGAAGCCGCGAAGCGGTATAATCTCAGAGACTGACCCAGAACATTGCAGCAGCATCAAAGACAAAGTGAGTTGGTCAGAATGGGCGGAGATCTCACGCCTTGATGCGGCCTTCGTCGTCGGTTGACCCTACCTGGACAAGAATGGGTCAAGGAGGACCAAAGCAGCATCAAGGCCTGAGATCTCCGCCCTTTTTTATCAACTTTGGCCTTTGATGCTGCAACAACGTTCTGACGAGGACCAGACTACTTTTCAAGGAAAGGACCCCCACAAATTACTCGAGAGCGGAGACTGTCTTTGAAAGAGTTCTAGTTAAACATCTGGAAGGCATATTCTGAATTGCAATTATGATTTCAGCAAGACTGTCCGTTCATCGTGTGCATGACATACGCCTTTCAAACGCCTGATAAACTCTGCTTTATACTGGACCTGATGAATGGCGGCGACCTTCACTACCATCTCTCCCAGCATGGCGTGTTTAGCGAGCCAGAAATGCTGTTCTACGCTTCAGAAGTGCGTTCTTTTTTCGACTTACTGCCCATAATTTGTTATTTCAGACACACTTATTCCAGGTGATCCTTTGGATTGGGAACACTATGCATTAATCGTATTTTTGTTGTCTACCGGACTAAAATACGCGGCCAATAGACTGGCTCGAGCGAGAACGAACGATGTGAGTTTTTAGGGACCTTTGCTCAACAGTACTTGAGTTCCTTTTGAAAGGCTGCTCTCAGCGCAGTCACAGGCTACTTAGGTTTCGATTCCCGACCTTTTTTGCGCAGTACGACCGAAAACCAGACCAGACCGTATCTTTCCCACACGTTTCACGCTGGTCCCTTAGTCATAGTACTAGTTCGAAACGACGTCACACGTTATAATCTCCAACGGGGGGGGGGTGGAGTCGCACAGTTTCAGCGGGTAATTCTAGGAGCATCTGTACGTAGGCAGGAGGAAGTGCAGCGGGAAGCGTGTACCAAGGTGAGAAGCTTTGAGTAGGGTCGTAATTTGCAAAAATTTTTCTCAACGGTAGGACGTGCCCTGGAGCCCACACGAAACGCCCCTTTCACCGTGCTGCCACATTCGCACCTCCTGGTCCACATTGCCATAGGTCATTGGGGGAGAGAAGGCAAGAGAATCGTTAGTTGTCGCTTCGTCGCGCGCGGCAATGGGCGCGTGATTCATTTTGCCCAGTCCTCTTGTTACTTGAGAGCATGCGCTGTATTTCATGTAGGCAAGGACATAGAATACACTTGTGTCCATTTTTGGTCATATATTGTCTATTCTCGACCAATACCACCTAAAATCGTCGTCATTAGCGGGTGCGACGTCGCACGTGACGCCACTGGCGCGCGGCGAATTACGATTCTCTGAAGAGAAGTAGAAAGAACGACGTCTCTCAAAAGAGGATAAGCAAAACCGTAGACGCATCGCATTTCATCATCTAAGCCCCTGGGTGTGAGGCGGTTCTAGATTGATGAATAGGCTTGTTTCTTCATGCTTCAATCACCGGTTGTCACCATCGCAACCCGTCCATCAATCGGGGGTATTTTTCAGGCTCTTTTTCGTGTTGTTTTCTGTTGATGGATGAAGCGGATGTGCACCTGAACTTTGGTAACAGCCGAAACATTCAGTCAATGCCCAGCAGAAGAAAGCAAGCGCGCTGGTTCGGTGGCTGTGGATTAAATGTGGGTGGTTGGGCCCTATGAACAGCCCGAATTTTTGATGGGATGACGGAGAGTTCAAATCGGAATAACATCCGTTTGCAGTAGGTTTTAGGTAATGGAGGTTGTGCAGTGACAAGTGGCCTCACTCACTAAAGCACGGGCGAACTGGGATCGACTCCTCAATAGGACTACCAACCACTTTCCCTCTTCGAAGGCTGACCATTTTATCCCAGAATCGTATGTGAGGGTAGAAATTGTGCCTTCCGTAGAAATTCACCCTTGTAAGCCAGACCAAAATTCAACTCTTTCCGAACGCCAATCGATTTTCAGAGGCGCGTCATAGAAGGAATTTATCAACGCGGCTAATCCATTTTCAGTCCTTCACTTTTTTAGCCTTCTTATCTCCCGGGCAACACACTAGAAGAAGAACTGGACCAATTGGTATCCTCTGGTATACGCCATGAACTCGCTCCTATCATTAATTGCAGAATCAGCAGTTAATTGTACAGAGACATGTGTGGGATGCGGCATGCATCCCACTTCCATTCAGAATCGTAGTGGTTCACTGAATACGATGTGGCCTATACAATAACTTGCTGGTTAAAATTTACCGTTCCAAGGGTAGAAGGCTTGGTTGGCTTGAGCGGTAGTCGGCCCGGGATTTGAACCCAGGACCGCGCAGGTGGTAACTGCGCCATTTGTATGTACTTAGCCACCTCCGCCCACATAATTTCAGTACCAACTAAATCGCTGTCTGATAGACACTTTGATTGACCCACAGGGCCCCATCAATGGAACTGCAATGCGGCACCTTCAAACTTGCCTTGCCTTGAATCTAATTCAACCCAGTACGGGAGACCCTCGCTGAAACTGCTGTGTGAAATGCGGCTCTTTGCTCCAGTCTTTTCACTGTTCGACAATTTCAGGTCCGAGTCTCTGATCTTGGCTTAGCCTGTGACTTTTCAAAAAAGAAACCCCATGCCAGTGTGTGAGTCTTTTTGCCTGTGATTTGTCTTCACCTAGCATTTCAATAGCGCAGGGGCTCTATTTAGCGGTACTCATGGCTACATGGCACCAGAAGTGCTTGCTAAAGGTGTAGCATATGATTCATCAGCTGACTGGTTCTCTCTAGGATGTATGCTTTATAAACTATTAAAGGTAAGTCAGCAAGTTAAAGTGCAGGTTAGAGCAATATGCATTTTCGCCACGTTTTAGGGTCATTCTCCATTCCGGCAACACAAAAGCAAAGACAAGACTGAAATCGACAAGATGACGTTAACGCAAGATATCGAGCTGCCTAACGAAGGCCTGTCTCCAGACTGTCGTGACCTGCTGGAAGGACTGCTGAAGCGAGATGTGCCAGACAGACTTGGATGCAAGGGGCGAGGGTGAGTTTTCCAAGGCTTTCTCAGAGACTGCGCTGCTTACGTATCAAAAAGTTCGACCTCCTCCGGCAGCGCGCGGATTGCGCGCGCATCTCGTTCACTGGTGATTGCGTGGATAACTAATTCATTGAAGTACATTCCAACTTCTCCTTTTTACCAATATTCTGCTGCTTCCAAGACAACTGGCACTCTCAAAAAATATGACTGAACTTCGGGAAGTCTTGATCAACTTTTCTTGGAACCATAAGTCTTATAAGAACTGCCTCATTAGAATACTTTGACCCACATCGTACCATCCTTTACCTCGATAGCAAGCCATAACTCATTAATTTGGAGACACAGCTTGATATCCGTTTGCATGTCATAAGATCTTCATTATATGAAATCTGAAATGAAAGGAACACGCAAACTCTTTTTGCTAACGAAACGGCTCCTATTTCGCTCGAACCTTCATACTGCGGAAGAATCCTTCAGATGCCCACTTTTTCATCCGTGATGGAGGTATCCACACGGGGCGACGGGAAAGATTGGGGGAAGAGGGAGGAGAAGCGTCATAACGACCCCCTCCGCTTTAGGATCGTGATGAAACGCTTTCCCTTTCAGCACAAACCTTTTTATCATCCGCTGTTGCTGTTGATATTGACATGGTCCTGTTTGCGCTCTACGCTAGAGCGGATTATCCTGTAAAAATGGCGGGAAGGGGCAAAAAAAAACCCTGTTCCGCATAAGTATAATTTTCCAAAAGCGAGCCATGCGGGAAGCTGAAAGAAGTAATGTAGAGAATTAGATGAGGAAAGTCCGAAATGCCCTGAAAATGCCATGAGATGGCCAGTTCGAAGTTTGGGTGGGCATTGTAATGGGTATTTAGTGGGTATTTTGAAAATCACATGCAGTTTTTCTCGAACCGTGAACACTGTTGAAAAAAAGAGTAACTCTTTTTTTTCTGTGGTAGGCGTCACAACTTTCTTAGAGCTCCTTTATTCATTGAAATACTTTTCGGTGAAGGATTTAATAGGGGAAATGGTGAGCCATCTGGAAACCTGTTTCCAAATTTGCTCACAGAATGCGTCTCTCTGTTAGCAAGGTTAGGAGGCTAGTTTGTTTGCTGACCTGATCTCATCTGCACGCGCCATGCCTTCGTCTTCCACGTGGAGGTGATGGGAAGATGTAGCCCCGTGTGAGGGATGGGAAGAGCTTTTAAGCGCTTTCAAGAGCCATTGCTTATGCGCTCCTTACAGCGATTAAATAACGCTTTTTTGATAAGGATTCTATTTGTCCTAGTGGTTTGATCTAGACAGACTTAGACAGAGAGAAAGCTAGTCGACTTTAGAGATGCAGACGGAGAGAGCCTACAAATTACTTGAAACTGATCACTACTCACATCAATTTATGTTTTACTCCTGCATCTATGGCTATAAAGCTAATCCGATCTCTGAGACTTTGCACTTTCCAGCTTTTCGCTAACAGTGAGGGCCTCCACTAACCTTGAGCTCCCTGAAAGAGATCATCCTCTGGCTCAGCTTATGTGCTGGTACCTTCCGGTTTTTCGGCAACCGCTATCCTCCGTCTGTGTGACGGTTAGGTGACAACTAACACTTTTCCCAGATGTCCTGGGAGCGAAAGGGCAGACCGCAGAGAATACAGAGGCGTCTGAAATCTGTCAAGCATCAGACAGTCCAAACCCAAAACGCGCGAGCCAGGGGGTAGATGAGCCTGTTGGCAGCGTAAGAGTTTGAGCGTGTACAGTCATAGTCATTGTGGCCAAAGAATGCCGTATAGGCGTGAGGGTGCAGAGAAACACAGAAAGTCGGCGCGATCTAGGGAAGAGAGTTCGAGTTCCGAGCTTTCTGTTAAAATGGTATATAGGACGTGCGCAGAATTGAATCGACTTGTGGGACGCAGACAGAAAGCATCGAGAGAGGGCCTACGGTATCCCGCCGGCATAGAGTTCTTCGATCACAGTGACCTTGCACACTTCCAACTTTTCACTAATACTGAGTGACTCACCCACCCTGGGGCCCCCGAAAAATGGTCATCCCCATGCTCTCCTCATGTTTTGGCAGCTTTGCTGTGTCGGCAAGCGCTGTACTATGCCTTCGTGAAAAAGTATCGCAATAGGACGATGCGTAGAAGTTCAACTTGTCACGTAACCCTGGGAAGTCGACGCGCCGCAGCATTGCTGCGTAAGTGGATTGGATCCTGGTGCGAATACTCACACCTTTTACAAAGCCTCTTTCGTCGCACCAACCGCGAAAATAACTCTTCACACCGCCGTGTACAGTCATCCCATTCTCGTAAAGTGGCCTTCAGGGGATTATTTGAGACAGCTTATCTCGTGAGGTGTGGCATTTTTTAAATACCTCCCTGGTATGACGTACAAAGATATTTACATACGAATCCAGGCTTCAAGTCACACGATGCTATGGGGACACATCGACAGCGCAGAAGCGCGTTACTGGAAAAGCTAGCAAATTGAGTCGGTAACAGAACCAGCCTCCTCAAAATGGTACCAAGGCCAAGTTGTCCCCGCACTGGCCCTTAATTATGGACGCTAAGTTAATTTGTACTCTCATTTCTGTATCGGCATGCAAAAC